GTACTACATCACACATCGAGTAAGTACTTTAAGAATATTTATTATCTATGTTATGTAATGACACACGAGTTCAGGGAGGGACTTTCACAGATTTATGATTATGGCACCTCTAGATTGCTGGAAATGGCCCTCTCAGACTTAAATTTGAATATAATTTTCTTCTACCCTCCCCACCCCACCTACCCTTGAACCTGCCACTGATCTGGTTAATGAGCTTTCTTAACACATTTACATATATTTTGCTGGACATATACTGACTTCAATGATAAAATTGATAATAAAGCAATGAAAACATATAAAATTATGAATTTGTGGAAATTAGTGCGGGAGGCCATTCTGATTTCTGGGAGACTCCCATAAGTTCTGGGAGTCTTGGGAACTCTCCTACAACACTGCTGCATTCCAACTTTGACAAAGTTGGATTATGAACGGGACGTGATTTCTAAAAATGTACAAAATGTCATTGAAAGTTAAATTTATATCATCATGAATATAGAAAAGTAGTTCTAGATATTCTACCGTACATTCTCACGTGTAAGACGAGGCTTCAAAAAGCAAATTAACATCGAAAAACAGGGGGTCGTCTTATATGCAAGACATACAAAGTACCTGTAATAGAGTTTTGAAATCGTGTTGGTTTTACTGTATGTGAGGATTATCCGCAACATGCCAATTTACTAATAAATGTTAGCATGAATGAACATAATTTGATTAACATTTAAAAGCCCATAAAAATGTATTATTTTGAAAATTAGCCTAAATTTTGTCTAGTTTTGTAGTCAGCAGATGCAGAATAAAGACCATAAAATACAGAAAATTGTCCAAAAATCTACTCAAACTTGGGGGTCATTTCATACGCGGGTTGCCTTACAGGCCTCAAGGATAAAATTGGTAAACTGAATCGTTAAATTTAATAATTAAAAGATAATCTAGATCATCAATAAACTTAATTATTATGTGTTATAACTTTTTACCAATTTTCACATTATGTTTTAGATATTCTTAACAAGCGAAGCAGTGTATGTGATTTTGTTTAATTTGCTGGAAAGTATGTACGACAAAGGGAAGAAAAGAATCAATAAGGGGGTAAGTCTACCAATTCTTATCATTTTACTAATGAAATATTTACAAAACAGATTTCATGTAAATGCTTCTTAGTAACATTGTTGAGTTCTGTATGTCATCCATGCTTGATAAATATTTTGTCATTTTATTTTCTGTTCAGGACAAAAATGTGATGACATACAATATGACAAATATACAGATCATCAAATACTGGATGAGGTTGATATTTACGTACGCTGTCCCAGTTGAGTCACTGCAGCAGCAGCTACAAACCAAGAAACCTCAAATTGCAGTAGTTGGTACCCACAGTGAGAGCCTACCTGGGACCGAAAAAGACAAGAACAAGAAGGTAAAATGTAATCTGAACTTAATGACATAATTAATTAATTATTAACAATTTGAACAATGTGTAATGCTTGTATATAATTATTCAGATTGAAGAACAGTTTGCAAAAATATTTGAAGAAATCCAAGGCACTCCGTATGAATGTCACGTGGTGAGGAAAATGTATGCCATCGACAACAAGTTTCCAACGCAAAGCAATATGCTGACAACACTTAAACAAGATGTTGGTGGATTTCTGAAAGCAATGCCCAAAACCATCCCGCTCAAATGGCTTGAATTCCAGCGTATTTTGCAGGAGAATGGTAGGACAGAAGTGCGAATGAGTTATTCTAAGGTATGTAATCATTGCCTAAAATGTTTATAAATATTAGAAACAATTGTTTATACTTAACCCCAACTCCTTCCATGTCCCCCATCCAAAAGACACTCCATTTAGTATCCATCCAAGAAAAATGCAATTTTCCCAAACTTACTTTTTTAATGGTTGGCAATAGTGTTCTGTTTACACTTCTACATTTTATTTTTATTAATATTACACTTTTTGAATTATATGTTAAGGTCTGTGAAGTCGCCACTAGCTGTGGAATTTCCGTGAAGAATCTGATCCACACCCTCAACTACCTACATGATCTTGGAATCATTTTGTACTTTGAGAACAACAAACTACTGAAGGACACAGTGATAACAAACCCACGGAAACTGATTGACATCTTCAGGAAAATCATCACAGTGGTGGAACCTGATGACAGTGATAAGGTGAGTTAAGTAGAAATTCCTTGCCAGACGTCATTCCCTGCCAGACATCACAGAGTGATAACATTATTAAAATTATCATTATTTTCAATGGGCTTCAATGATCAAGCTGTGGAATAAACTTGATAATGAAGGTATATTGGAGGAAGAGGTAGTCAGACATCTTTGGAGACATGAGATTAGCAAAGATGAATTTAGTTGTGAAGTCTTCTTGGAGTTGATGAAGCAGTTTGGACTGCTCTGCGAGCAGATCAAGGTAGGGCCTATTGCTTTTTTTCTTTTCTGTTTTTTTGTAATACTTGGAGAGTTCATATATTTATTAACCATCCAGTTAGTTAGTGATGAGTTGACCTGCCCCTTAGCTAACCTAATTCATAGTACAATCAATCCTAATAAGAATTTATTTTTAAAAAAATATTGAATTTTTAAAAAGCAAAGAAATGCATACATAAATGGTGACTACAGTAATTCCATCTTTTCATTGTAAAATGAAATTGAGCAAATTATTTTTGGAAAAAATTAGTTTAAATTATTTTAAGAATGTTAATCTTACTCTACCTTACATGCCATTTACATTGCAGAACATTTGATTTTTTGAAAAAGCTGGTAAGATAATATGTATATTTTTCTGTGATTTTTCTACTTTTTAATTAAATTCATTTGTTTGTTTTCTCCAAGAATCAGGAAAGCAAATATCGCTCGTTTTTTGTACCCTGTCGATTGAAACGTAGCAAAGACAATGTGTCTATTCAACTTGACACAGCTCAGATGGTATCTATCTATATGGCCTCCGAGGATTTCATCCCTGATAGTGTCTTCCATCCTCTAGTTGTCAGCTTGATTGGAATGGTACAAGACATGGGCTACAAAGCCATGCTAGAATTATTTAGCAACTATGCTAACATCCGCTTAGGACTTGAACACAGTCTCAGCTTAGGACCAGTAGTCATTAATAACAAGCCCTCATTGAAGGTAAGATGATAAGTGTAACTAATTAACTTAGTTATTTTGAAATTAGGTTCATTCCATGTCAAATCACCCAATGGGTTTAACTTAGTGTACTTGTTAAGTCTGATCTCACAGCACCAAATCTCAAATTTTAGGTAAATCGGGTGAGGGGTTTGGGAGATACGGCCCTCCAAATTTTGAGATTTTCAGCAAAAACGGGTGCGGCCCTCTAAATTTGAACCCTTGTATTTCACAAACTACTGTGTCAATCTTTACAAAATTGATATTGTTGAAAATAACTATTCTGTATTTTTGCCATAATTTTGAAGATTGGTATGTGTTGGGGTACCTTGACCTTTTTACCTAAGGTTTGACCTTGAAATTAACCTTGTGGATCACATGTTTGTATTTTAGTTGGAAATATTACGGATGCCTATCACTCAGGAGGATGGTACCAAGACACCAACAGGTGAACCCAGTCCGAGAGTCTGTATGCAGGTAATCTAGAAAAATAATTAAATCTTGCAAATTTACAAATACGCTTTTTTGTGATCTGAACAGCTAATATTATTATTATATACAGTATTTGAATGTAACTTTATTTTAATGGCTCACCATCAGTCATTGATTAGACTGCTAAATATGACAACAATGACGGTAATGATATAAAGAGCAATAATTCTGGTGCCAAAAACAACAGCACTATTGTATGTTTGTGTCGTTGAGCAGCATCAAATCAATTAAACCATAATAAGATCTAAGAATTCAAAACCTGAAACCATAGCGTTTTTTGGTGGTGCGTTTCTAATATGGCATTATGATTTTTTTCTTAAAATTTTGTTTGAAAAATTCTGGATCCACCACTATGTATTGTCTGTTTAATTGTTGTATTTTATTTTTGAGCATATCTAGTCAATTAAATTATAAAATTTAACAATTGAAACTGTGAAACCAGCGTTTTTGGTGATTTTTCTCTAACATTACATATCATTTTTTTTTTCTTAAATTTTTGCAAAGTTTACAGTTTAAATTTTTAGATTTTAAAAATCCTTATTTAAGGTGTTAGAGTTTCTGAAGAAAGAGATGCAAGTGCTGACATCTGGAATGAAGCACACACGTTATAAGTTACGTGTCCTGTGCTGGACAAGCTTGCGAGAAATGCATTTCCACGATTTGGAAGAGTGCCTGGAAAATGCCTATATCCCATGCGGTAAGGAATTGATAACCACAGCCAAACTTCAGAGGATGTTCAAGAATAAGCAATTAAAGACAGGTAAATCAAGCAATTTATCAATATTTTTGTATATACAGTAATTCTTTTCTAGCATCAACTTCTAGTGATTCAGAAACAGTGCCACCAGGTTAGGGTTTCAAACATTTTTCAGCATTTCATTCTTTGTAGATTTTAACTTAGCGAC